GTCTACAGGTGGTCAGGTCTATGATGTGGGGTCTACAGGTGGTCAGGTCACCTGACCTGATTGACCAGGTTATTCATCAATGATTGTTCAAAGCTAAAGGAGGTCCAGTGAAACATTAGTGACCTGTTGTTTTGTCCAGGTGATGTAACTGTTTACATTTTACTGCAGATATTTTACTATTTTAACCAATTACAAACCAAAATGTTCAACTCAGTTTGAAGTAGTGAACACTTTTGGTTTTGTAAACATTTACAAGTTTTATCTTATTTAATCTGCCACTTTCAGTTTTTTGCTAAGATTTGGTTTCTTTTAGCTATTCTGCTGCATTTTAGCTGTTTGCTAGAGGTTGTTTTACTTAGTTTACTTTGCTYTGTGTTTGCAACTTTTAGGTAAAGTTTTGAAAAAACAACTGTTTTGTTTATTGTATTATTTGCTGGTTGAAGCTACAGTTTTGTTTATTTTAGTAACCAGTTGTAGAGGCTGTTCAGCTGCTTTTAGCTTCAGTTCATCTGCATTTTGCTTTTAGCTGCCATTTTTAGCTTACATCAACCATTCGGCTACTTTAAAATTTTAGCTAAATTTCTTTTAGTTTTAGCTAACATTCTTCACTTTTTAGCCTTTAGCTGACATTTAGCTCATTTAGTCTTTCTACATTGCTACTTTTAGCTACAGTTGTACTGAAATCAACATGAGTTGTGCTTGTATTCACATTGGTTTTATTGATTTTTAGCTGCTGTTTTGTTAATTTAGTTTTTGCTAATTTTAGCAGTGGTTTGGTGAATCTTAGCTACATTCTGCTAGCATTAGCTCAGAGACACGTTGTTTGATCAGTCAMTATTGGTGAAACAGAATGGCTTCAAATCCTTCTCTGCAGGAGGCAGTCACGTCAGCTCCTCATCAGATACATCCAAAGAGCTGAYACTGCAGACAAACATCCAGACTGTGGAAGAAGCAGCCGAGCAGCACCAGAAGCAGCTGGTAGAACTGTCAGCCCGGCTGGAGGAGGCCCAGAAGAACCGGGCCTGTTTGCAGCAGGAGAAGGATGAAGTCCAGGAAGAGAACAGAGAGCTGCTGCAGAACTACTCCCGGCTGCAGACGTCTGTAGCTGAACTCATGACACGAGTGCAGGAGCAGGAGGAGAAGGCTCTGCAGAGAGCTCAGCTCCAGCAGGAGATCCTCACGTTAACAACTAAACTGGAAGGTACATTTACACACCTGTAGACTGGTACCTGTCTGTGTCAGTCAACAGCCAGGCATTATTTAGCTTTATTATGTGAATAATCTGCATTCGTTGCACCGTAGTTGGCAGCACCCCCCCCCC